GGGGTCGCTCCAGGGTCCGCGCGGCCGCGAGTACCGCGGGTGCCACGCACTTTGCGGTTGGCCTGCTCCGCTCCCCGATCCCCTACCACACGGTCCCCGAGATGAAGGGGGAGCGGGGCAGGGGAGGATAGAGCCGAGACTAAAAAATCGATTGGCGCCTTCGCCCATCTTCCCCTATCCTTCCGCCTTCCTGAAGGATAGGTTGGAACGGCTCCTGAATGCAACACTCGTCGAGGTAAGATTGGTTTCAGCTCAGGGTCGCCCACCGCAACTGTATCCGGTGGGGCCTGCCCTCACCGAGATTGGAGGCCGAATTAAGTTTGTTTAAGGAAGATGGTCTGTAATTCTTAGCCACATCTCTTCCGGCCTGTCAGTTGCTGTGAATACACTGGCAGGCACTGGGTTTTGGGTTTCTCAAATATTTTATTTTGTTTATACACTTCTATTAGAAGCTCTGTGTTAGGCCTTGCAGGACATTCAGAGATAGGAAGGCCCTTTCCCTGCCCAGCAAAAACTTTACAATCAAAAGGAAGACACTTTATGGACGCAAATAGCATACGATAAAAGAAAGCTGCGGCCAGCAAAACCACAAAATCTAAAAGTCCATTTTTTGTCACTATAAAGCCATTTAAAAACGAAGAACAGAAAGCAAAAACTCCTTTAAATGAACACAATAAATACGAATATACTTAAGCTTCATATTACGGCCATGAAAGAGACAGATCAGACAGGTAGGAAAGAGAGAAAAAGAGGGAGGGAGGATTAAATAGATAATGTGAATAAAAGAGACCCTAAAGGGGAAAAAAATTCATAGATTACTCACAGCTCAGACACACAATCAGAAACAGATGTGTGTCTTTCACAGTTTTAAAAAGAAAGGTATAATATATACAGAGAAATAATACTATAAGAGAAGTATAAAATCCAAACGGACCTTCTTGAACAACCCATAGAAACAGTGGAAAATAGAAACACATAAAGTCACGAATTCATAGAGAAATATTAACATTTTGTTTATAAAATTTCTGCTAAAGACTTGAATCTGCTACATTTTGCAATTATAGGCATATTTGCAGATGTTGCAATTAGAGGTATAAACTAAGCACGGGGTGAAATTATAGGCACATAGAAGGCTGTGGGGTTCAGTAAACTTGTCGTAATCCCACTTCTGTAACTTATGAGCTATTTGACCTTGGGCAATTTACTTAATTTCTCTAAGCCTCATTTTCCTCATCCATATCATGGGAATAATTCATTCTACTTTATGGACTTGTTTGAGCTTTAAATAAGATGAAATGTAAATCACTCGGCCCAGTGCCTAGCTCTAAAGAAGTATTATTATTATTACTGTTAGTTTATTTTAATCCTGCTATTTGTCTTGCTGGTCAGTTAAGTTAAAGATTTGATTTCAACCAACAGTCCTTCAAAGAATATACCATGTTCTTAAAGCTTACAAGCTCTTGGTAAGTCTAAAAGAAATCATACTTTTTCTTCACGGGAATTTATATCTGTGGGTGAACTGAGTGTATCCGATTACAGTCCAGATAGACAACATTCCCCAAAAAGCTCCTGCAAACAAGAAGTTTGCAGAAGCAAGAAGGTTAAGAGTGGACTTCTCTCCTCCAGTCATTGTTAAATAATTATAGAGGGGTGAGGATAACACATTTTTCTTCAGAAATAACCAGCATCCCTGTAGCACTTTTTGGTTCACAAAGTACTTTTCACATCATGGGACTCAGATTGGCTGATTTCTTTCCCCTACTCTTCCTTCCTCTTGAACTCCAGTAACTTTCAGTTTGCAAAAGGTGCAGTCAGAAATGTCAACAGAAAAGCCCATATACCAAGTAGCTAGCTCGAGGCCAGCAGGTCCTTAAAGGTCAAGCTGAAGGTAATTTCCTCACCATCACGCTCTGCTTCTGACCTAATGAAAAGAGGCGGGTCCCAGAGCAGGCCAAGGACCTAGTGGCTCCCGGCTTTCCTGTAAATAAAAAATTGCTAGTGCTGGTCTCCACACACTACCCCAGGACACAGTTCACAGCCCTTTCTCCTAGTATTTGTCCAACTGGGCCGGAATGAGGTGGGAAAAACTTGAAAGGCATTGAGTCTCAGAGAATCTGTCTAAATCTTCATTTGCACGTGGGGGACAAACAGAGCTTTCTCTCTCCTAATAAGAGAATCTGCAAATCCATTTTCATTGCATTGTAGAGAGAGTTGTCAAGAAAATCAAACACAAACTGCTTCAGATAACATGTGCTAGATATTGTTATTGTGAATTCATTTAGAATTGGTCTAGGACTTTAGGTTTGGACATTATAAAACCCCATTCCTAGGGCTTCCCTGGTGGCGCAGTGGTTGAGAGTCCGCCTGCTGATGCAGGGGACGCGGGTTCGTGCCCCGGTCTGGGAAGATCCCACATGCTGCAGAGCGGCTGGGCCCGTGAGCCATGGCTGCTGAGCCTGCGCGTCCGGAGCCTGTGCTCCGCAATGGGAGAGGCCACAGCAGTGAGAGGCCCGCGTA